GGTTAGAGAAAAAAAAAAGACCTTAATTTTAAGGAAGAACAACCACAGATCCATCAGAAACCCTAAAATAAAAAACTAAGAAGCGACACTAATTGCATATCTAAGAAATAGAATGAAACGGATAAGAAGGTGAAAATAAAATACCTTGCCGGAACGCTTGAGATGGGCGGCGTAAGCCTTGACGAAGTCATGAGGGGAAACGTCCTTAACTGCTCTCGATGCCTCCATTTTCCGTCTCCTTTCCTGTAACCAAATCCGTCTCCTTTGAAGGGAGCGAGGGTTTTGTGCTTTGTTTATACTACAGCCTTGGTCCAGTTGTATTTCAGGCCCAAATAGTTTATACTACGTCCTTAATTTATTTTAGGAACTAATCGGATTTAAAATTAATAAAATTAAATTTAATCTTATTTTTTCAGAATATTTTAATTTTAAAATTAGTGATATTAACTTCTATCTCCAATTCTTATAGTTTAATTTACTTTTTAGGATATGTTATTTTTAATGTTAAGTAACTTATTTATAGATTTCATCCCTATAGGCTATAGGTACATCCAATATACCAAATCATGAAGTCTATATGGCCGTTAATATCCTTCCTATATACTTTCTCAATCATTAATCTAATTTGGATCGACTCGTATCGCACATCTAATTTTATTGAGTTTGTATTCTCTCTTGCTCTTGTTATTTTCCTTTAGGTGTGATGTTTATGCAATTTTTTAAGTCTTGATGGGTTTTCATTGCTTTGATGAGATTATGTTCTCGTGACAACTAAATGAAACGAGATAGATAACGAGTTATTCGAGATCGAATCGGTTAAAATTTTATAAATACTCGACTCGAGTTCGAGTTCGACTTGAGTTGTTAATGAGCCAAAACGAGCTAATTGATACTCGATTTGAAAAGCTCATAAGCAGCTCGAAAATATAATACATTAAGATTTTATTTTTTAAAAATTAAATTATTAATAATATTAACATTTATGGGTTTATTTTTTTTAAAAAAAATATATTACAAGGTTTTTATGTATTTAAGGTTTAAATTTGAGTTTGAGTTTTAGGTTTCAATTGAGTTAGATTTAAGATTATTTTATTTTTATTTTGAGCTTTTTTGAGTTTTAATTCATGGTTTCGAGTTCGAGTCGAACTTGAAAATTTTAGACTATCGATTTTTAGGCCAATCAAACTTCATTTTAAAGTTTTCAAGTCGAATTGAACTCAACAATACTAAAGTTCGATTGATTTCCAGCCCTAGTAACAACCTAGGTTATTGTCTAAAATGACATATATTATTAGTCTAGACTCTAATCCCGTAAGAATCGGTCTCTACCTTAAGTTTTGAAATCAAAAATTATTGACATGATACGACTCTTTTGAGCTTGAATTTTCTTTGAACTTTGTTTACATAATGAAATTTTATCTCTTTTTATAATAATATTACGAATATTGAAAAAATCACATAAATATTTTGATGGAATGGATTTGTTTTAAGCTGAACAATGGCAATAGCTGGAGATGGACATAGAAGTAGTCACCCTCTGAAAATTTAAATTTATTATATATTTAAATTTTTTATACATTTTCTATTGAAAATTTATTTTTATCTACTTAGAAATTTTATAAATTCAAGTTTACCCCTAACATTAAATCTTACATCTGTCCTTGACGATGCTTCTCATTATATGTAATTCATGGGGTTGTAAGAGTTACCAAGATTTGTTTTTAATTTTACCTTTATAATTTATTTTTTAAAACTAGATATATGTATATTATATAAAACGATGCTTCTCATTATATGTAATTCATGGGGTTGTAAGAGTTACCAAGATTTGTTTTTAATTTTACCTTTATAATTTATTTTTTAAAACTAGATATATGTATATTATATAAAACTAAAACTAAGGGTCTGTTTGATAGACTGTTATTGGTTTTCTAGAAAATAGTTTACGTAAAATGGATTACCTAAAAATTGTTTTACGTCAAATGAATTACATGAAAATTGTTTTACGTAAAATGAATTACATGAAAACTGTTTTATGTAAAACAAATTACCTGAAAATTGTTTTAATATGTAAATCATTTTCACCAATTGTTTGATACTCTATAATTAATTTTATAGAAAATGATTTACATAAAATGAATAAAGTTCGGTTCAATTAATATTTTAAAAAAATTGATTCGATTAACGACTAAAGAAAAAAGTTTGATTTATTCAGTTAATGGTAATTCAATTCGATAGGTGGTTGAATTTATAACGCCCGAATCCCGGACTAGAAATATTAGGCTAACCCGAGATGGGCCTTGGTTTAATTTTTTAGCTCGTAGGAAGCCTTAACCCAAATTTAAGATAAAAAGAGTGTTTTTAATCTGCAGTTAGAATTGAATGCACCAAAGAAGCAATTTTACCCTTATTCCAAAATAAGGCTAAAATTCTTAATTGCTTGGTGATATCACGTCTGATACACCCGCTTTTTCTCAACTCTCCTTTGTCTCTTATTCCTTTTCAAACCTTCATCTTCATAGCTCTTTCTTCCTCTCCAAGAACCAAGCAAAGGTAGAAACTTGGTAGTCTTGCAACCCTAGTTCAACAACCTAAAAGTAAGAATCATGATCCTTGTGTCTCAAACTTTGTATCAAGCTCTCAAGACACCCATTTCACCATAGTTGCATGAAAATGAGTTTAGAAGGGTTTTAGGAACTAGATGGTTCCAACCCATTTTTTAGATATTTTTAGCCATAGGAAGTGTTTTAAAACTATCCTTAATCCATAAAAACAGTTAGTAACTCTTGCATTTGGTTTTGTTTAGTGCAAGAGGTTGGATAAGACTCTAAAACTAAGGGGAAGGAAAAACTTATTTTGGGTTGAGCCTTTGATGTTTCCAGCAGTATAACATCAAATATAACTCACTTTTAACTCAACTATATCATATGTAAGTCATTTAGATGAAATGTAGTAGGTTGCATAAGGTTGAAACATTCCCATGGTAAATTTCATGTTTTAGAGTTATAAACATGTTTAAAGTCCTATTTATGCTCCTTTGTATCTTCATAAAACATTAATAATGTTTGGGGACCTCACTAAGGTATTTGGGATAGTAGAATAAGAGTTTTTGTAACTATTTTATGCTCTCTACAGGTTGAGTTTCGATACTAGAGGGATAGTATCGAAAATTATTCTTCTTTTCGGGCAAATTCGTGAGTTTCTGGGCAAGAATATCGATACTATTTGAAAGAGTATCGATACTATTTGAAAGAGTATCGATACTATTTGAAAGAGTATCGATACTTTGGGTCATAGTTTCGAAACTCCTAGAAAGTATCGAAACTAGGTGGTTCAAAATGTTTAAAAATATCGATACTTGTAGAAAGTATCAAAACTTTTGTAGGAGGATTGATATTCTTGAGCTAGTATCGATATTTTCAGTCTGTTTTGGACAAAAAAAACTAATTTTTAAGGGAATTTGACTCGAGGTACCCAACACTTATGTATATCTTCAAATAAAACTTCAAGCGAGAACAATAATTAATATTATAACAGTAGAAATAGAAATAGCTAGGTTTACATAAAACTAGCATTGTTTGACGCTCGAGAAACAATCAGGACACCCGAACTTTGGGTCATTTGGTTCTCTAGAAAGCTGCTTATTCCCAAAACACCACCTTTTCTCTATTCATAGCTGATAATTAAAGCATTGAAATCACCACCGATTAAACATGGATAATTAGACTCTGGATTCAAATTACTAAGACACTTCCACATGTGGTTGCATATTGAAGCTGTCGGGCTAGCATATACCACAGTGATGAAAATCGGGCGTCCAAGATGACCCTTCTCTACCAAGATATGAACAACCTGATTTACAATGCACACAATGTCAAATTTCACAGAGTCCTTCCATAGCAACCAAATCCCCCCACTAAAACAATGAGCCTCAACCCTGAACAAATTAAAAGTGCTTAGAGACCGAATGCCCTTATCTGTTCTTTAATCACTAATTCTAGGTTCAAGTATCACCACCAACAAAAGTTTATAAATAGCCATGAAACGACAATAACAAGGGCTAGCAACACCCTGACTATTCCAAACTATACACTCAAACATGATTAAATGTCAATCAAGAAGGTAAAATAGGATTCTCCCCCGGCACCGATTCTACCCAATCCATCGATTTTATACCAGGAAACATATCTATTACAGACGTCGTGTCCCCTTGTTCTGTATTCAATTGTTCATTATTTCCCAAACTATCGATATGAGCAGTCCTAATTGTATCCATTCAACAAGAAGAGGTTGGTTGGCAGTAATATAGGCCAAATTCTTCTTTACACTCAATCACCTACCCCCGATTTCTTTCCCTTTCGTTATTCTTCCCGTCTTGATGCCCGCCACTTTCTCCCGAATTCCTACTCTCTTTTTTATGATTTCATCATCAATCCTCACTGTTGTGTGATTACCACCTTTAATGTTCGGGAACTTCATCGAAATGCTAACCTCCTTCCCCACCATCATTGGCGCAACATGAACATTCTTCGTATCAGATCGAGGTGGCATTATATTCGTTACATCCCCAACGACACAGTAGTCATCTTGGTTGTACTCCCAGATTTAGCTAACGGTTGTAGCTTTCCTTTCGAACCCCCACTATTCCCTTTTGACATTTTGCTACTAGATGAGACTTGGTTTTTCTCAATTGAATTCTTCCCATTATTTCTTCCAGAGAACCCACCAGTACTTGCACTTGCTATATTAGCTACTTCAAAATCTTTGTTGGTCACTTCCACATCAGCCGAATCAACATGTAGAACAGTAAATCTTGACTTGCTACTAACCTCGGTCTGCTTTGGCTGCATTATGTTACCCTCCTTCAGCTTGGGCGTATGTCGCTTCCGCTCCAGGGCGAGCATCCATGGGCCATACAGGAAATCATTTTGAGTCATAACCTTCTAGACTGAATTACCACCATCTTGAGACTCCACTGTAGGACCATTTTCGGTGTTCAGCTATAAGGTGCATTGGTCTTTGACATGTTCATATAACACACATTGAAAATAAATGTTTTGGAGTCCATCGTACTCCAATCTCTGAACAAATCTATCAATCCCAATGCATGGCAGTAGCAGTTTATTCAAGTCGACGGTCACCGCTACTCTAGCAAACTTGCCTCCTTCCGCTCTTGTATTATAATCAATTTTATTAACCTTCCCAATCTCCGCAGCTAGGATCCAAAATAGAGCCTTTGTGTAATACCTATAAGGTAACCTCGATAACCTAATCCAGATAATTACTTGTGAAGGGTGGCTATCAGTAGTATCGAAACTATGACTCCAGGGTTGTACCGTTAAATAGCTACCAAAATTCACCCAGGGGCCTTCAGTAAGAACATTCGTATAATCTCTATCCGATTCAAATCTGACCAGGAAGTAGTCATTGTCCAAATCAATTAGTTGAAATCTCCCCATTGGTTGCCATAGGATATTAATTTTGTTCCAAAGTGCCAGATATCCTATCGTCCTCCCCAAGAGATGAATGATCATCGTTCTCTGCATGTTATGGTTAACAGAGTCATGAACTTCATCAGAAAACTGGGCAACATGATATGCACCACTTCGATCAATCACAATATTACATTCTTGGATGGGAATTTCCTCGTTAATTACTTTCGAAAATAGAAGTTTGTTCGAGGGGTCTTCTCCCATTAGGGTTGCCGCATATGATTTGCCAGAATTAATCGGTTGGATTGGAGCTTGGATTGTAGATTCGTTCGGCTGGATGGGACTTAATTCGTTTGTTCTTGCATCTTCAAACCCTCGTTCAAAGTGGACGACAAGCTGCCTGCATCCATCGAAGTCAGTTTCTCAAGGTTGATTCTGGCTTTCTTTCTTTCTGGTTGCAGATCATTCCCAAATGGCGATCCCGACAGTTCGAGCAATGGAGGAACCAGTACCTCCATCACCGCCTCAAGATACGGTTGAGCGTTGCCACTCATACAAAACCCTAATCATAAATTCCTACTTTTCCGGAGCTTCTCAACTAATTTTATTTTTATTTCTCTACTCTTTCTTTGTATTAGACAATCCATTTTCGAATATGGAATCTTAAAAAATAATAACACTCCTTTTTACTACTTTTACTACTAATGACATATCCACAAATAATTTTTAGGATGAGTATATATTTATTAATAATAAAAAAATTTCAATGTGATTGGAACAAATAAAATTTCAGGGTGGGCAACTTTAGTAAAATAAACAATTAATATAAAGAAATTCAGATTACAGGATGGACATGTATATCTGCCACGGTTTACTATTGAAATCACTTAATAGATTCAATATTATAATAGTCTTAAATATAAAAGAATATATATATATATATATATATATATATATATATATATATATATATATATATATATATATATATATATATATATATAGTGAGTGACACACACTTATGTGCACCACTAATGATGTGAACCTATATGCACCATTAGTATAAAAATATGGTAAAATTTATAAATAGTCAATAAATTTATTAAATGATTTTATTTGTCATTTAATTTTTAAAAGTTATAAAATATATTAAAATTCATATTTTATTAAATATATTTAGTGACCGTGAAATATTATTAATGGGTGACGTGACATACTAAATTAATAGAAAATATATTATCTTCTCCCCAATTATAACTATAATTTCATTTTGATATTTTTAAAAAATATTTTTTAATAATAATTTCAAAAAGAATTTAAAGAATTTAGATTTTTTTTAAAAATATGAGAATAATTTATTTTTAAAATTAAAAAAAATATATTTTTTGAAAGTTTTCATTCATCAAATTATTTTATAACTAATTATTAATTAATCGTGATTTTATTTGTAAAGTTAAAAGTTTATAATTTTTTAGATCCAAAAAATTGAATTATCGAACAATGCAATTATTGTATATTAAATGAAATTCAAGTATTTGACTTTTGTTTAAGAAGTTTAAATAAAAATTTTAAAAATACGCCCAGAAAATTATAGTATCAAATTAATAAGAAAAATAAATTCAAACTTAAATAAAATAATCAAAACAATCCTTAACACTTTTGATAATGTATCAAGTAATTTATATGGTATAACTTCAATATTTATAATAAGGCACTAAAAATAATATTTAATTTATTTATATCCATTTTGTCTTGAATTCAACTAACATAATGAAAAATTATTTTAATTAAGATTAACAATAAAAAATTGCAATTAAAGAGTTAAAATGAAATATTTTTCTATTAATTTAACATATCACATCACCTCTTAATGATAGATAATGAAGTTGTGTTTATTTTGTAACAAAATTTAAAATTTAATCTTATTATATAACTTTTGAAAGTTTGATGTCAAAAAAGATCATTTTGATATGATTTAATGTCGATTTATAAATTTTACCTTATAAAATTGGTGGTGGATATCGATGATTGACATCGAAACAACATATAATAATAGAAGTCAAAAGAAACTTAAATTTTAAAATATAATTGGCTAAGATATAATATATTTATATAATAGTTCATTTATTGTATTTAATTTTCATTTTATGAGACATTTATTGTATTTAATTATATGCTAGTAATTTTTATTGTATACATATGTGGATAAACTATGCATTTAGTACTTAAATTTCAGTTTCGGTTCGCTTTAGTACCTAAACTTTTAATTTTTTTTCAAAAATCATACCTATCGTTTAGTTTTTATTTCATTTTAGTACCTTGCCATTAAAAACATAACGCGTTTAGTACCTAAACTATCAGTTTTGATCCGTTTTAATACCTAAATTTTCAATCTTTTCAAAACTCGAGTGTAGTAAAATGAAACAAAAACTAAAGTTTTTAATGATAGATTACTAAAATGAAACAAAAACTAAACTTTAAGTATGGTTTTAAAAAAATTAAAGTTTAGAACTAAAACAGACAAAAAATGATAGTTGAAATACTAAAGGCATAATTTACCCTATATATATATATTTCTTTATCTTTATAGAAACGCAAAGATCATAATCGATACCAAGTGGCAACTAAATAAGACTTTCTTTTGGTTTAGGCAACTAAATAGGACTTAATCGAGCCTTTCAGAAAAATATATACAATTGAAGCAAACATGTTTCACTCAAAGGTTAGCCCCACTAGTCATTAGTTAATTGATTAACTAAACAAGCAAAGCAACAATTTTGTACATAGAAAAAAGATCCAATAATAATAGTTTGTATTTTTTTAATATATAAATTTTATTTTATTTCTTTAACAAATGAGTTTGAGTTTATGTTCTATAGCTGGAAAATATATTTCGTAAAATATTTTTTTGTGTTTGATAGCTGTAATTAGTTTTACAGAAAACTTTTTCCGGCTTTTTATAGTTGTAATTGATTTTTCTTATATAATTGATTTTCTTAGTTCTTTTATATTTTCTGTAAATTATTTTACTATATGATTTTCCTTAAAACATTTTCTTAACTTTTCACTTCACAGTATAAGCACTCAAAAAAATTATTTATACATTTAATATTACATTAATATTTTAATATCATTTTAATAAAAATATTAATTATTAAAATATTTAATATACATATAATATAATTTTAATAATATTATAATTTTAATATTGTATTATTATATACTCAGATATATTATAATAATATATGATATTAATAATATACAATAAATTATTAATATAATTCATATTATCTATTATTTTATAAATATATTTTATTAAATTATTAATAATGAGTAATATTAATTTATATATTTAATATTAATATAATAATTTAGTATTATGTTAATAAAATACTAATAATTAAAATTAAAGGTGTTCAAATGGTTAATTCAACCCATCGAATAGAATTAACATTAACCAAAATAAACCGAACTTTTTTCTTTAATCGTTAATCGAATCAATTTTTTGAAAATATTAATTGAACTGAACTTTATTCATTTTTATGTAAATCATTTCCTATAAAATTAATTATAGTGTATCAAGCAATTAGTGAAATGATTTACACCATATCATCAAAGCACCGTAAAATTGTAACATCCCGAAAAGTGGGCTAGTGACCAAAACGCAAATTTTGAAAGTTTGATGGTCAAAGTAGAAAATTTGGGGAAAAATTTAAAGATATCAGTAGTATTTTCCCAAAAAGAATTTATTCCATAAATGGATTTAGTTAGTGACCAAATTATAAGATTTTGGAAGCTTGGTGACTAAAATATAAACTTTGGAAAAGTATAGGGACCAAATGGTAATTTCGAAAAGTTACATTTGGTTTCGAAAATAAGGAAATAAATATATTATTTTCACATTTTTAAATGTTGGAAATAATATTTAAGGATTTAATTCCATATTTAATTTGGACTGTTGGATTAAAGTGATAAAATTGTAAGTTTTGGAAATTTGAAGGACAAAATGGTAAAGTGAGAAAATATTTTTTACATATTTGACTGTGGAAGATGATAAGGTTACTGTAGCTTGGTATTAATGTAAATATCAAGTTCATTAAGGGTAAATTAGTATAGATATTTTGATTTCAAGGGTAAAGTGGTCATTTGACATTTAATGAATTTTATATTTAATATTTAATTAAGAAAGATGAAGAAATATCATATGATTTCTTCATCTTCTCCAACACCAACGTGAGCTTCTCTCCAAATGTAAGAAAACATTTGTTTTCAATTTTTGAGATAATTCCTTTGGAATTCGAGTTATGTCGTGAAATAGGAAAGATCTACGCGAAAAACGCTATCATTTGGTACAAATATTTCTTTCTAATCTTGTTGGATTTCAAAGATCCCCAAATCTAAGGATTTATGTTCATGATAGGATTCATGAAATTGATGATAAATCTTGATGATTTAAAGGTTGTAGATTCATTTTCAAGCTTGATTTATGGTTAGAACATGTTCAATCTTTCTATAAATGATTCTTTGAAAATTTGAACATGATGAATTTGAGAAAAATTATGGAAAATTATATAAGGTCTGGAAATGATGTAGGAAGTATTCTACAAGCTTTAAAAAATTTAGGGACCATTTTGTAATTTTTGAAAAGTTGGGGGACCAATTCATAATTTTTGGAAAAGTTGTAAAAGGTTGTATAGTTGTCTAATAGTTGATGTACTAAGCTGGAAATTGCTGTTTTGGGATTGAAATGAGCATTTAGATGTGAAATATGACCATTTTGGAAGTTTAAAAAAATTGGTGATTTAAATATAACATTCACATAGTTAGTGTACCGATACACTAAGGAAGTGTATCGATACATCCCTTGAAATGAAAATTTGAGTATGCTATTGGGAATACTGATATGTACAAATGTATGATGGTGTAGATATTGAGCACAAGCAAGTTCTGAAATGACTGCAAAATTAGGATCAATCTAAAGCGATAAATCATAGAAGTGGATTTGGATATATAAAGTGTCAAGGTGAGTGCATACTAGTTGTAAATGATGTGTATGGAAATAAGACTCGCGATGAGTCTAATTTCAATATTTGATTGCATAAATATATGAATGTTAATATGTGTTTGATATGACTATTATGTATGCATGAATACATGAATATATTCATAGATGTTATATGTTATTTGGTGTGATAAGAATGTGAATAGTTATATGATAACAGTGTGTGAATTATATGAATTAAATCTAAGTGGTTAAATGAAAA